TAAAGTGGTGATCCTAACCGACCTAAAACAGGGAATTTGTACTAGGATTAAATGTCAGGAATTGTGAAAAACTGAGTTTAAATGTATTTGGCTAAGGTATGTAAACTGTATATTTTCTGTTTTAGAAAGATATTTTTGATTGATAAGGATCTTCATGTAAATCTACACCCACATCTGTGAAATTGTTAAGGAAGTTGACATACAATGTTTAATGTAATTCCTACTCTACTCTAACTAATTCTGTCCTCATGTTCACTTGTACTTCAACAGGACTCTGGGTCAGGAAAGGAACCGGATACATCAAGAAAGACGGAGCACAGCTGACATGGAGTTTTGTGGCCAACCAGCTAGGATACTGGCTAGCTGCCTTTCCCTCAACCACAGGTACAGTAACTATGTCCAGAGATGGGCAGTATTTCTGTTACATGTATTTTAAATATGTATTTTAATTACTTCTCAGTATTTTGACATTTGTATTACACAGGGCTGAATTACACTCCAATGTATTTTGTAACAAGATACTTTCGAGAGCTGCAATTTGTATTTTCAAAATACAAAATACTTTTCTATACAATTTTTTTATAGCTGTTCACAATATTGTGGCCCCCTTTCACCCTACATTGGTATCAGAAGTCTGATGGCACTATGGTGTGAAAAGAGCGTCTGCTAAATGAACTAAATGTATATGTAAAAATGAACAATTGCAAAGCATGCTGAGTGTTATTCTAATGAGCTCCGTCCCGAAACAAGGCCAATAATAATACCCAGTGTGCTTTGCAGTTAATTTTGCTATGTTAATTTTCACATATACTGTACATTTTGGTCATTTAGCAGACACTCTTATCCAGAGTGACTTACAGTCAGTGCATTCAACTAAGGTAATTAAACAACATATCACAGTCATAGCAAGTCATCTTTTTTGGTAACCATTACTGAGAATGTTGTTGCTGTTCGGGCCAGCAACTTGCAAATGTATTTTCTTATTTTAAAATACACAATACATGTATTTTGTAATGTATTTAATTAAAATACAAGTATTTCGTAATTTATTTTGATACATTGATCTTTATGGTATTTTGTAATTGTATTTTGTACTTTTTGCTCATTCCTGACTATGTCAACAATGTTGACATAGCTGGGGACTGCATCAGTCTGACATTTTTTCTACAGCCCATCTTGGTTCTCTTAAGACAGGGTGTCCCTACTGGTGGCCCGCGGGACGAATTTTTCCAACGGTTGATTTTATTTGGCCCCCCAAGTTTTTCATCTTGGAAATCTGTTCGAAAGTATTCCCACACAATAGAGAGAGATATGTGATCGTATACAAATGTAAGCAATGTTTGGGCTTCTTGAGGTCAATTTGCAGTCTACTGATTATTTGTAATTATGTTACTGCCCCCTGACCATCCGCTAAATAAAAAAAAACTGCCCGCGGCTGAATCTAGTTGATGATCCCTGTCTTAAGACCATGTCAATATGAGATAGAAATTGAATAATGAACACTTGTTTGTGCACTTTTGCGATGAAACTGTATAGCTAGGGATTCTGGTCGGTCAATCTTACAAAGCTTTTTGTAGGGAGTCCTGTTGCAGACTTGGCCCTTCCTAGTATCTTATTTATCACTGTAACAAATTGCTGTAAATTTACTGCAAAAAAATGTGTTAGCTACTGTAATTCTATATTACAGTACAGTACTCTAAAGAGGAATGCATTATGGGGGCTCAATGGCATTACACGATACTGCTGTAAAATTACAGTAATTGCTGTATATTTACAGCAGCATACTGTGAATTATGGTATATTGTAGGAAAATGTTGTGGGCGGGGAAAGAATCTCTGGCTCATTAACCTATTTTGAGGTAAGCCTTGTAAGACGCTATATTTGTTGCAGCCGTTAGTGAGATTGCTGTACCCCACAGAATACAGTACCATACCGTATTTTGGAATCTAAAAACCTGTTCCTGTAATCTACAGTAATTTACTGGCTACTATGCTGCTACATATGTATTTTTGGAGCCCCAAACAACTTTTGAACACTATTGTTATTGTTGTTTCTGGGTCATTAACATATTTTGAGGCATGTAGGGGACAAATCAAAGTGGCAGCAAGTCTCAAACCTTTAATGGTTGAGTGTTTAGTTATGTCCTTTTGATCGGTTTTGCCCTGTAGCCACGGCCAGTTTAGAAGCCTTTGTTAAGGCCTCTACAAGTGCAAGTGATATAAAACACCAAATATTCATTGGTATGCTGTAATTATTAATTACATATTCACTGTTAACAATTGCTGTAACTTTATTACAATACATTTTAACAAAGTACTGTATTGCTGTTTTGCTGTATATTTACTGCAGCATTTTATAAATGATGGTGCTTGTGGAAAAATGTGTGCCGATGCCTGTTTCACTTTATCAGAAGCACGAGATCAATGGTGTCCGAAGCTTCAGTTTGTCGAACAACCACCTGATTGGTTTCGGTAGAAGACGTCATCTATATAATTTGGCTGTTCTAAATTATTTTGACCAGCAGGTGCCACTAGTGTACACTGTGTTGATCAAAGCCTTGGGTAATGAACCTGCTTTTGACACCAATTGGCTGGAAAGCCTCAATGCGTCAGGAAGCTTCGTTTGGAAGCTTTTGTTTAGGCCTCTAGAAGTGGAAGTGATATAAAACACCAAATATTCATACAATTGCTGTAATATACAAATACCTAGCAGCCAACCTGCTTGCACCAATCCCATGTAATTACAGTAAAATACCAATATTACTGTTACAGTAGCATTTACTCTTACAATATTGTACTGTATCGTTGCTCTGATATTACAGTAACTTACTGGAAGCTGATGGCAAGTTACTGTGAATATTACAGTAACATACTTGGCACTAGCCAGAGATGGGCAAAGATACATCAAAAGGTATCTTATTGAATATACAAAATACCTTGAAGACCAATGTATCCTTAACTACAACAACATTCTCAGTAACGGTTACAGAAACGTTTTACTTTGTATGACTGTGATATGTGGTTTTCTTTTTATGCACTGACTGTAAGTCACTCTTGACAAGAGCATCTGCTAAATGACCAAAATGTAAATGTAAAAATAAACACTTGCAAAGCACATTGCTGGGTATTATTCTAGTGTGCTCCGCCCCAAAAACGGTTTGTATTTTTATTAAATGTATCCTTGTTTTTGGGGGCGGAGCTCATTAGAATAATACCAGTAGTTTTCATTTTAAGTGTTCATTTTTACATTTACATTTAGGTAATTTAGCAGAGGCTCTTATCCAGAGTGACTTACAGTGAGTGCATTAAACAAGAATGTTTTTGTAGTTAAGCGGGCTACTTGCAAGTTTATTGTTGTATTAGAAAATACAAAATACATGTATTATAATTAAACTGTTACAAAATACATTAATTGTACTTCAGGCCAGTGAAATACAAATTACAAAATAGGTATTGAAACTATTGAAATTCCTAACAGAAATACTGCCCATCGTTGGCACTAGCTGCCTGCAACAGTTTACTAACCACTGTGCTTCCAGTAATGCACTGCAAAGTCAAGGAATACAGCATATAGCTGTAGTCAGCTATTACAGTAATATGCTGTAAATTTGTATTTCAGTAAAGGTCCTGTAAATCTACAGTAATTTACTGGCTTCTGTGCTGCCAGTATTTACTGTACATTTACAGTAACCTACAGGCTACTGTGCGGCCAGTAGTTTACTACAACAATTACAGGATTTACATTGTACCCCTATGTTGCAGGCTCAGCTTTGAACCCCACAGGCCTGCGAGACATCACCACCTACCACACCATCTTCCTCCTGACCATCCTGGGTTCCATGGCTCTGCTGGTGCTGGTGCTGCTCTGTCTGCTGCTCTACTACTGCAGGTTGGTATCAGGCCCAGCGTGTCTCAACTCAGGTCCTGGAGTAGTCCCAGTGTGGCACATTTTTGTTCCACCCCAGCACTAGTTTTGAACTAGCTACTCAGTGAGTCATCAAGCACCAGGATTAGGGTCAATTTCATTTAAATTCCAGTCAATTCAGGAAGTACACATAAATTCCAATGCCAATTCTCTTCCATTCTTTTCAACAAGGAAAATGTGGAACTACTTTCTGAATTGACTGGAATTTAAACGGAATTAACCCCAACCCTGTCAAGCACTTGCAGAGTTGAATCAGGGGTGTTATTACTGGGCTGGGTCAAAGATGTAAAATAAAAATATAACCAATCCGGGATATTCCAGGACTGTATTTGTTGTTTCATTTCCTGTGTACAGGGTGTTAGAATGTGAT